GTGAAACTGCCCTGGGCTGTCCATGGGCTGTCCATGGGCTGCCCATGGGCTGCCCATGGGCAGCCCGTGGGCAGCCCATGGACTGCCCCACGAAGTGCCCACTTCAACCTAGAACGTCACCACCGGCAATCAACCTAAGCTACACTGGAAGTAGCGGCAAATCCATACCGGGTACTGCTGTAAAGTGCTCTGTACGACATGTACTATTACCCGTCCACCGATGCACGCGAGTATCCAAAATTAAAATTCGACCCCAAAGTCGCCAAGGGTGAGTGTGTCGCACACGTGTCGGGTGCCAACGAAGAGCGGGAATTTTCTGCCGGGTACGAGAGAGAGAGATCATTAGAACGCCCGCGTCGGCTGTTGTTGCGCACGGTTCTTCTTGCCCCTGATACAAGTACATTGTATGCAGTTTTCATTTCCTGCCACGAACGAAGCGGTGGTTAGATAAATAATGCAAGAAATAGCGCTTGTGCAACAGCTACCATGAGTTAGTCGCTACTACACATGGTGGTAGTAGTGAGTCGGCCCGAACCCTGAATACCATCATGCAGCAGATTCTCTTGAATACAACGCAGCAGTATACGATGTCACATACATCATGAGCGATTTCGGTAGCACAAAACAATACCGGTTTCAGTATAGTTGACATGGCACACTAAACGCGGAATATTATGCGGAATAATATGCCATTAAGGGTGTAATTTCAACTTTTAAGAACCGTATTGCAGGAAAGGTATGTCTATGTATAGAACGATCCACTGATCCACTGATTGATGGATGCGGTAGGTCCCGTAACGGTTCGTAACGTTTCCTAGATCGGGCATACTTTCCGAGACGGTTCTCAGGAACGTTCTCGGGAACATTCTCAGGAAAAGTCCAGCGCTCACTCTGTTTCCTGCCCAGCTCAACAATACAACAAGATTGCACAACATACTTTTCTCGTTTCTCTTTTACCCAACTTCCACATTTGGTACAAGTAGAGTCACGTCTACAGTGCACCTCCGAACACCTGTCAACAAGGTGTGGCACACGCTTCTGTTACCTTGCTTCTCACTGCTGCTACTGTACCGCCGTAGCACAGGTCACTTAAACAAGTAGACTACCACCGAGTTGGGTCATCAGCCTTTTATCTTGTATTAGTGAGGACCTCTTTTCAGCAGATCTGACGTTTATCGAAGCCGAAATCAAACCAGACTAGTCAGTTGGTTTGGTTTCGGCTTCTTTACGTTCGCTGAAAAGAACACACCACACAAGCAAAACCACCAGGGAACTGTTTTTGACTACACAGTCCTAACAGACCCAAAGCCTCTGATTTTCAACAGCAGAGATGTGAGCGACATAAAGTCTTGGACGATTTTCGATCGAGTCAACAAGCCGAGGTCGAATCGTCGTCTTGTGCAGCTTGGCTGAAGTAGGTGGAGATTCGGACGCTGCGTGTGCTTTGCGCTACCGCTGAAGAAAACATTGACCAACACATAAGAATAGCGCACATGTTTACTGCCACGATGGTATCATCGATAACCTGAACGCTAAGAGAGATCCACACGCTTACCCATTTAATTTAGAGGAATATTAGCTCGACCGGGAAAGGGAGAACGCCCCCCCCCCCTCCCCCCCCCCCACTGCTGGTGCAATGACAATGAACTCGGTTATATACAGCCACATATATATGCATATAACGGCCGGTAAAGCTTATGCAAACCGTACAAACGGCCAGCAGTATTGTCGAACAAACCTGTTTGTTTGGTACTTTCCGAGCAGTTGTCTCCCTTGCAACCCGCATCTCTGCCTCGTGGAGGTGTGTTGTGTGTGATCCGTTGGGACCAGGTTGGGGACCAGTCCGATAGACAGTCTCGCCTGAATGGCACTGTCGGTAACCCCTGCATCTCGCTGACGACGGCCGACATTCCCCCGCCTCCTACTGTAGTAACTTACGGGGGGAGAACACAGGTTCACGATCGGTAATTACATTGGTGTGACGGTGTGGGAAAGGTGCCAGGGAAAAGAGAAGGATTAGGGAGACAGAACGAGGGTGAGAGCCGGAGAGATCAAAGCTATTGAGAAGCACGATGTGGCCACAGTAAACAGTCAGTGTCGCTGGCTGTTGCTACAATACTGCTGTAGTGCGGTGGCCATCGTGCTGCTCAATAGCACACCCAGGGAAGTGCTCTAAGAGCGATTTTAGTGGGACCCACGTCGCTTGGCGTGTTGCAGTGCTGGCAACGAAAAATTATTTCTCATAGTACTGGGACGTAGGTGGCTTCTCGTGGGCAGCCAATAGAAAAAAATGGTGTACGACTCACCCACGTGAAGCAGCGTTCCTACACCGTCTCATCTCAGTTCACGCTCTATATCCTACACATTAATAGCACAAGTGCGAGCATCCGTTCCGGATCTGATTCCCGGCGCAATACCAAAAACAAATGTTATATTATACATGTACGTGACCACCCGTTGTGTCGTCTTGCTGTTGAAATCCGTCGTCCTCCAAATCGGGGCGACGCACGCAAACAACGAACCAACCGGGTTCTCGACCCAAAGGGCGACAAAGAGCACGTGTCGCAGTTGCTCATGACAGGCGCGAACATCAACGAGTCGGAGCCGACGTCAGGGACGACAGCGTTGCACGTCGCCAGCAAGACCGGGAGAGTCGACATCGTCCAGGCACGTACTATACAGTGGAAGCAGCAGCGTCGGTAGCTCTGTATTTTTGTCTCACTGTCCAACCTCCGCCCGATATGATAGTCTATCATGAGTTGAATTCGATTTATTGTAGTATTGCATTCAGGTTTCAGCCTTGCGCGCTAGGGTCAGAATTAAACTGCCCACGTTAGCTCTCGTGGTTGTTCCTACTGCTGTGTTCGGTGGAAATGTGTTGGGTCATGGAGACCGAGCCATCAGGAAATGTATCGGCGTTGGCAATACTCAAGCTACATAGAGCCCACAGCGGACGCGGTGCTTAACCCCGAAGCCGAAGGTGAAAGGGTATCGGTTATACAACTCCTGCCGCTGGGATCAGCGCCAGCGCCACAGAACAAGAGTTGTTCACACCCGCAAAAACCTGTTGTTTTTTTACCAATTTCTACTGCTGGGGAATGTTGCATACGAAGCACAAGTTTTTTTTTAATCATCGGCGGGTCTTGAACACGTTCATTTACTGGTAAGAGGGACTGAAATTTGAAATCATTGTTTGAAAATAAATTCGGAGTGATTCCCCCCGTACGCGGGCGCCTCACTCCCTCCGAACATTCCCGCTCTCGCCAACGCCGCCGTGTGAAAGTGTAAGGCAGCGTTGATCGCTTGCCTGTGATCCAGACTTGTACACCCTCGTGGCCATAAACAACCCTCCAGCCGGTTTCGTCGCTGCAAGTACATCATGGGATGGGTACAGCACTGGTGTGTCGCTCTTACGCCTGCCCGCTATGACTTTCCGACACATCAGGATCTGATTCGCAACGACGCGGACTTGGATGCCCTCGACCTATCGCGGTGGACTCCGCTGCAGTATGCCGTCTTCAAGTGAGTCGGGAACTAAACTTGAACTAGTGAGATCATTGTGACAACGATGCTCCGGGATCCGCCCGGGAATATTGGCATGGATCCGGGCGAGCCACCACCAGCTTCGATCGGCCCATTGGTGCCTTTCACTTGTTGCTTGTCGCGCTCCTCATGAAAGCGTTGTTTGTCCCACCTCCTCGTCGTCGTCGCGGTCTACCGAACATAAAAACAAATTCCAGAATGCTTGGGTGCCGGCCAGATACTTTCTCGAAGTGCTCCCCCTTTTCCCTCTGACGTGCATGTATGCTAACGTGAGTGATGTTTGGTCTTCTTTTCGGTGCCATCTTGCTCGTTCTCCCCCCAGCAACTACCCTGATGTCGCTAGGGCTTTGTTGGATGCCGGCTGCAACACCGCGGGGATCAAGTTTGACTTCAAATCCAGAGAGGCGAAAGACACCATGAAGCCCCTGCTCATCGCGTGCAAGTGAGACGGAGGGACAAAAACGAACAAGTGGATGTATATGGTGTTTTAACGCTCTGGTCTGTGTAATGTACAAAGACGCATGAGTCTTCCGCTAATACAGGAGTCGTGGACTGGAGGATAGTCTCGATAAGCGACTTCCCAACACCCTCTGCAATTCTTCGAGCAGTAGAAATGTCACTACCTTGAGTGAGTAAATAATCGCTCTGACGTCACCTTGCAACCGACTAGAGAGCGGTTCATAAGGTTGGCAGAAAACCTTACTTCCTTTGCTCTGGATATTGTGGGCCTTCAATATGTTCTTTTCTGTCGGTGTGGTGCTGATCTCCTGAGTGCTGACCATGGGGAGGAGGCAGCCAGTGTCCAAGCGTGAACGGTGGTTGTCTGTTTCCAGGCAATGTACGAGAGGTAGTCTCCCTGGCGCTTTTCCCTATTGTTAATTATGTGGGTGGAACAGAACCGTTCGGTCTCCTCCCTGACAGTCGGAAAAAACGCCCGGACTACAAACCCCACCCCACTGCACAGGAGGAGATCCGAACAAGTACAACCTGAGCGAGAAATAGTCTTTACGCCGGCCATGGCGGCGGCGCCACCAGCACGAGCAGCCGTCGAGGTAGCACCGAACCCACCACCACCGCCGCGGCTAAGTGCGGGCAGTGTCGGCAGTGGCACGAGCGTGGGAGAGTGGGCCCGAAGAATCAACGTAGACGAAGAGACCCTTCGATCTCGCGACGGGATGGAGCGATGGATGCAAGAAGGGGGCTTGCAGGGTTACACGCAGGCAAGAACACAGCAGGCCTGCCTACGCAACAAGTGTACAAACCCAGAAAATATTTCTACATCTAGATCTGTAGAGAGAGGGCTCCCCACATCGAAAATTGTGCGTTTCTGGTTCTGTGTCGTGTACTGCCTGACAGAGGCACAGTAGGACGTTCGAACCATGCTGGGGTCAGGATGAAGCATTGCGGCAATCGTTAGTAGAATGGCATGGCCCACTTACCCGAGGCTTGTCGTTGTCTAACTTTTCCCCTCACTTGTGCCGTGTTCGGCAGAAATTTCTGGATGAAGGATTCTCTTCCCTGTTCTTCCTCGTGAGCAACGTCGAGAAACAGGAGGTATGTGAACTAAAACTGATACTTACCCATCATATGGAGCAATGGTATCGCCGAACGCTGCTTGTCGCTGTGTGGACGAACCGTGATGAAGACAGGGGATGCTTTGAAAAACCGTCGTGCCGCTCGCATTATTCGGGCACCGCGTACAAATCTTTTTCACGTCCGTGCTATGTTTTATTTTGTAGCGTCGTTGTGTCACGCCCAGGAAAACGTGTGTATCGTAGAATAGTTTTTACACGTCAAACGCGTTTTGCCGATCTTGCCTTGCACACCCAGGTCGCCACGTTTTGCAAGAACATCGGCATGTTGCCTGTGCACCAGAAGCATTTTCTTCAGAGGTGGGATGACCTCGCGGTCCAGTCTCCGCCAGAGGTACGTTTAGCTGGGTGATCGGTCGGTTGTTTGAAGAGAACATCTGATGCATTGGTCGATGGGTTGAATGTCAATAAAACTGTCATGTGCATAGATGCGTGCACCCATGGGTTTGGTTGTTTTGCAAGGTAGATGAAGGTCGTAGATGGGGTCAATGGGGCGAATGATTGGTTGTGTGTATTGGACTGACGGACAAATAGAGCGGGCAAGTTACCGTTGAAGAACATTCACAGAGCAAGGTGTATGTTGATAGTTTGATTTCCCTGCTCTGCACACGCCACTGAATCCCTGACTAGAATAGAAGTTATTCCGGCGTGCGGGGCGTTTGAAAATTAAGAGAAATTTCCTGCCCTTCCTGTCAAACCGAACCTGCTGCGGCTTGCTGGTCAGCCTCTCTCTCTCTCTCTGGGGAAACCATACGCTAGCGGAATACAATTTGTATCGAGGAGCGTTGGAGAGGGTCGAGCATTTTCCTCTCCTCGTCCAAAGGCGCCTGCCGTCTTTCGTTTTGTTGAGTCATGCAAAATCCGAGAGAGTAGCATACGTGCGTGGAGGTCTCGGGGGGTACCAGCTCGCCGTTGATTGCTGTAAGGAAGCTTCTACAGCCAGGATGGTGACAATGTGGTATGCTCGGGCTGGAGTGGGTCACCTTGAAGCTTCCACCTGTCGGCGTGCTGCTTCATCAACAAGTCTATCTTCTCGCGGTCGCCCCACGTTTGCACAGAACGCAGGTCGCGGCAACGATCCTGAAGCCTCTGCACCTCGAGGAGAGGGAAAACGCAGGGAAGAAACGCAGCAGCGAGATGACGCGGCAGTGGCGGACTCGGTCCGCGCACGTCTCTTGAAGTGCAAGAATCTCGCGGTTCTTGACGTGAACACGGAGGGCGGCAAGGTAGTAACAGAAACGAACAAACACGATATGATGTACAATCCCCCCAAGGGCTTGGTGGATTCGGCTACGATGTTTCCACCAAGTTGTAACGCTCTCCATCCCTATTGTCGCTCCTTTCTCGGTCGCGATGGATTCCGCCACACGCGTAGCATGTATTCCGTCCAACGCAAAGCAAACCCACGTTGGGGCATGGCTTTCTCAGTACAATTGGTTCGCTTCGCGGGAAGGAGGGCGGGTCATGTGGCGCAACATACCACGTGCCGAGTCTTAAAAATGTTACCGATTGGTCCCGAACCCCCCGGGCTTGCGTCAAGAGTAAAAGAACATTTCTGCAGGGGAAAGAAAGTACGGCACGGCCATCTGCTGTGTTGGGGGGTATAATGCCGGTACTGAACGTGCTCTTTGTCGCCCGTCTTTTTCGTGCTCTTTGTTGCCGTCTTTTCGGGGTTGCGAAGAAAGAGAAGTGCTCAAACCCTTGCGGTGCTTCATTTCTGCATGCAAAAGTCTAGCACTCGGGTGGACTGTGCGCCAAGGTGTTGCAAGCTGCTTCTCGCTTGTGTGTAGGGCCATGCCGCAATTTACTAAAAACAGCCGTCACCCCAACCACGTACCAGAAGGTGACTACTCTCCGGGACAAGGTGTGCCAGCTGCAGGAAGCGCTGCTGGATCCAACTTACCCCAAGGCTTACATCAAGCAGCGGCTCAGGTGCGATTATCTCTGGGTTTTGCCCGATCCCGAAGCAGGGACATCGGGGCATCCATAGCTTTGTTGTCGTTCATGACGTACCTCGTTGTTTCCTTCGGAAACGCTCGGTCCGATCTAGGCTGTCTGGATGCACAGGTGTGAAAAGGCAAATACGTATTTTTGGCGTGGACGAAACGATAGAGTTCCCTCTCCACCGTATCGATTTTTCCGATTCCCTGGAGAGAAAACAAATTCAACAAGGCTCAATTAAACTCTCCACACGCAAACCGTGTACCCGGATCAATCAAACGATGGGGGAACCCTTGGCGCACAGGACGTGGGCGGTGAGCGCAGCAACTGTGGTGCAGGATCTGCACCGGGCGGGCGTCGTATGGGGCAGCGTCAGACCGGATACGTTCATCGTCAAGTCGGGAGACACGCCTTTCCCGGTCTTGCTCGCCACAGACTTCAGTCGCGCTGCAATCTCCCCCAACGCTAAGGGTGAGGCCCACCGATGGAACGCTTTGTTATAGGTTTTGGATACTACTGCTGTGTAGGCTTCGAAATGGTCACTCGCCGCGAAGCGGTTCTCCAGTTCGGAACGCATGATAGAATATCGGTAAGGCTGGAACAGCGAATAGCCCAGTTGTCGTCTAAGGCCAACGGAACCTAGTCGGGTTGTCCGTGGCAGGTTGCAAGGGTGTGGGTATCTTGGCACACGGACGCGCCATTCACCCAAACGAGAGGGCGCCTTGAACGCCGCTCACGAGGCCGTTTTGCCCGCCCCACTGCTGTGGCTTTCCGAATTTGTAAGCGTCAAACTCTTCCGTTTTCATCTCCAGGGCTTTTTATATTTGCCCCGAGTTCCGTTGTTGATGAGCAGCGCCATGATGTCATGCAAGCGTCGGCGGAGCAAATGCAATGACGGACTACACACCATTCTGATAAGAGAAAGAGTCATGCTTGTGAGGTAAACACTCTGTTCTCCGACACCTACCCCCTGCAGCTCGGTAGCTTGTGAGATATCACACCTCGATAGCGATCAATCTTCACGCGCCGACGTCCGAGAACAACGTACTCAAAGCGACCGCCGTTGCTTGCTTGCCGCAGGACAAGAAAAGCAAGGGGTGGAACTGGTCCCCTTGTTCTCCCGCGGTGAGATTAGGGGAGAACTCCCTCACGTCGATCACCTCAGATACATGGCCCCAGAAGTCTCGCGAGCGATGCTCGATGGCGAGAGCTACATTACCGCTGACGAAGCACAAGATATCTGGTCTCTGGGGATGCTCATATATGGCATAGAAGCCGGACACGAGTACCCGTTTAGAGGCCTGTCGGCGGCAGAGGTGGGCGGGTGTTCCCTCCTAGTTCACCCATTTTATGATTTTGTGTTTTTGGTGGGGTTTCGTGTTCGGAGTACTGTACTTCGTTGCGGCTTGGTTATGTTATGGTGCTCCCGTCTCTTTCTTTGGTCCTGGTGCTGTTTTTGTCATTTGCCTCGCGTTTTCGTTGATCGGCGAGATTGATACACTATGATGCCTGTGAGAACCCAAATAATATGTTCTCGGTCTTTGTTGCACCCCATTGGCTTGTAACCTTCCCCCCAGCGGTGTGTAAATCTTTCATGTCGTTTTGTTCCAACCGCTGGGCACCTTGCTGCAGACAGACGTCATGCGGTAGCGCTGCACATATAGCGATCTCACAACCACAAGCAAAACAAAACAACAGATCGCGTGGGAACTTTCAGAGCTGTCCAAGGGGAACGAGGAAGTCGAGTTGGCACACGTCGGCCAGGCTGGCCAAAACCCTGTTCGCCGCATCCTCGACACGATGCTTGCACCAGCGAATCCGAGGTACTGTATGTCTGCTGAACGTGCTGCGGCTCTAACATTCTTGGCAGTACGTGAATGGTCGCTGTCTTTCAGACGAAACCTAGATTTAGCTTTTATCGCTCGTCGTCTGCGAACCTTGTACAGCAGTAACGTCGTATGCATCTCTCTCTCACACACGCCACGAAGCTTGGCTACCAACCGCTACAAACCTATACGGCCGCACAACACAAACACAGAAAAACCTTAATTTGGGGGGAGAAAAATCACCGAGCAGCGTCTCTCAGTTACAGAGATCCGTAGAAACACGAGTGGCACAAAGTAACGGTCTTATGCACCAATAGGTACAACGTAGTGGTGCTGGCAACGACGGAGTCACGGCTGCATGCGCTCCGCCGTCCCCGAAATGGGGTTCATGCCGGAGGTGAGTTGCCACACCTTGATCAGTAGCGGCAGAAGGCAAATAAGCTCTCCCCGCCGAATCTGGGGCGGCGGACAGGTGAGGATGGAGTGGTATGTTCGTCTTGACCCTGGCAAGATTAAGATTTCACGCCGGCCGTTCAGGAGATTGTCGAGATCCATCCTCGGCTGGCGGAAGACTACGTAAAGAAGAGGTCCTAGCTCGCATGATTTCTCAGCTGTTTCGACCGGTCCACCACCAACACTTAGAGAACTCTACCCTCTGTAAGCAGAATCTGATGGACGTCGGGGTGTACGCCCTGCCGTCCGATACGCGAGAACAGCCGAGAGGCCTCGCACGGGAATGGCAGTGGGATTACCCAGCAATGTGCGGCTCGGCTGGGGAAGAAACGTAGATCTGCAAGATTTTGTGTACTGTGCGTGTGTAATTTGTGAGCTGGCACGCGCTTTTTTGTTGTCGCTCTGTTGCGTCTTTGCCTGGGCTCCCGGACCGCGCTTTCCCCTCCGACAGGGCAAGAGGGTCCATGCTGGCCTTGGCACAACGCTCGTACATCACCGCTAACGACACGGTTATGCTTCGAGCTCAAAACCTGGACTTTCAGCCCGTCATCGAGGTACTCGGAAAGCCCGCCTGACTAAGATATCACGTTTTCTTGGTGGTTGTTACCGCAACGCCGCCCCCTCTCCTCGAACCAAAACCACCTCCAATGTGCCTCTCGGCCAGGTTTGTTCACCACTCTGTATGGGTATGCCGTGTGCTTATTGTTTGTTGAAAGGGAGGTATAAAGGTGTTTGGACGTTCGTGTTGTCTTTCGACACACCCGTACGCCCGTCGCCTGTTCATCGCAGTTCCCCATGAGCTGAGTGTGAGTCGCGTACACAGGAAGATAGAAGCTGCGGGAGGCACAAATAGATCCACACGTTACCGCGAGCTGGGTCGTAGAATCCAACATGTTGGAGCGGGTGCATCATCGTGGATCGAGCAGTTGAAAATAAAGAAAAATCATGCCAGCGGCAAGAGGCTCGGGTACGTCGCCGAAGCACGCACCTCTGTGAGGATATGATAAAAAATATCGCGGATTTCGGATGCATGGCGACAACAGCGCTCGCAGCGAACTCTACTCTCACATTTTTCGGCATGCGCCCTTGCGCGCCTTTGCCGTGCGAGTGCACCACCTTGAAGACCGTCGACGGTCACACTTCTGCTCATCCGCTGTAGCACGTTGCCTGCCTGACCACTTGTGACAAACTTTCCTTTCTTCCTTGCTCTTGCTCTTGCTCGTGTGGTGCCTCGAAGCACGTCAAGGAAGTGAAGCGGGAGATAGAGGGCCTCAGGCAGCAGTTTTCGCTGGCGTTCGATGCTCTCAGGGACGACTTCCTGGTGGCGAACGCAGCATCGGTGCACGCGCTGAAGGTGCGCATATCGTGATGGGTGCTATGATACCTTGCTGGGGTTTCTGCGAACGTCCATCCGACAGGACCCTATGCATTCGCGGGGCGTTGGTCTCGAGAGACCACCCCAGCTCGCTCTGTTTGGATGTTGCCCCGTGGGCACTCTTGTTGTGCGTGCTTGGTTTGACGTTCGCTGAGCCCGGCCGAAGTTTTCCTGAGCTAGCCCTCGCGCTTGCGACAGAAAAACAGAGAGAAACCGACGTGTTTTGCCGAACTAGCGTACGCGGTATATGTAGCTTTTGTGGCGATTATCATTGCTTCCTCTTCACTGGAGAACATTGCCTTGCCTTGCGTTGGGTGCCATCGTTTGCCATTTTGATGCTCGGTTGGTCTCGTGATATTTTTTGTTGGTGGCCCTTCTTTGTGTTGTTGGTGATATCGACTGTCGGCAAGCCATGTTTTCTCTCGCACCGACATGAGCAGATGGTTGCGCGGCCCTGTTGCGCTATCACACGAGGCCGACTTGTAGCCGACGTGAAAATCAGAGTCTTGATCCGATACGAGTCTCTTGTGGTTCAATGCGTGTGCTTTCAGTCTCACTTTGATGAACAACGTTGCGTGCATGTCCTCCATCGTCCGCCACGGCTCTCTCTCTCTCCCTTTCTCCCTCCCTCTCTCTCTCTCTCTCTCTCTCTCTCTCTCTCTCTCTCTCTCTGTCTGCGGTCGTCGATGTGCTCGCCGTCGTGTTTTGCACGATTCTGGACCACCACATAGGGCGAGATGGGTCATGTTGTCGGCCGCATTGACGGCATGGCCGCGACGATCGGCAGTAATCGCGAGCTGGAGACAGGCAGGATAGACGGTGTTCGAGAGGAAATGCAGCTCCTGGCAGGAGCTGTGCAAGAACTCTCCGAGAACTCCCAAGCATCGGCGAGACCTCTTTGCGAGGTGACATGAATAAGGCTTGTAACCAACAGATGCAACCCTCCGTTTAGTTTTCATCTTGTTCTGTTGTTGTGAGATCGTTTGTACCACGTGTATTTCCCGTGGTGTTCAATTCTTGTGTAGTGCAAGCTCACGAAGGGAGGTGTCAAACGCGTAAGCGTGTTTGTTCGTGTCAACATTCCGTCCTTGCCACGTCGCATTCATTCCTATACTTTGGCAGAGCCTGCCGCAGTTCGTGTATGAAACTAGTGTAGCTTACGTTGCAAGACTCTGCGCCAGGCATACACACAGATGAACACGTGCGTGCCCACCCGACAAATTCCAGGGCAGCAACTGATGTTTAGGAACTGGTGCGTACCCACACATGTGCGAAAAAAGTGTCGCGGGTTCAGGCATAAGTGGCCTTTTGTTTCCTTGAGAATACGTGTACCAGAGAATGAGAAGAAAGAGTTGCATATTTCGCTTCGTCGGAAACTGGAGGCATAAACGAAGAATGAGAGCGATGCTTTCGCCCTTGCCGTGTGTCTAAGTACGACGTAGTACTCCCTGCTTGGCCACGCAGTCTCAGCGCCGCCAGCGCTCGTGCAGACTTCGCTGTTGCGTCAGTTGTTTAGCAACATAAATCTGCTGTAAACCCACAGTAGTCGCAGCACCAACCTCTCTTCAAAATCAAATGTTAGTTGCATCCAATGTTTTAACCTTGAAGCACGTTCTCGGCTACGCAGATGGTGGATCAACTAGACCGCTACAACGAGGAGCTAGCCCGGCTCAACAGTGGCGATGAAGGTGCTTCCGCCGCAAACCTCAGAGAAATGTCGACCGCGATACAGGGCATGCAGCGCGCCATGTCACAGCGCTTCGCCAGCATCGAGGTACGAGAATTTTAGGCATGGTTGATTTCGCGTCTTCTTTCGTGTCTCAGTCAACAGTCGCGGCTGCCTTGGAAAAGAAGGTGCTTGCGGTGGAAAACAGCGAAGTTTCAGCCATTCTCCGACCCTTCAATACGGCTTACAAACCAAAGACACCGTCTCCTTCGCCTATCACCGGCTTGCCTATCGGATCTACGTGTACGTTGTTGCCGTCTCTCTTTTCCCTCGGTGGTTCTGTCTCGCCTCGTTGGTTATTTAAAGTTGCGCAAGTGTTTTCGGTGTCATGCGGATTTCCCTTGTGCTGATTGTTGTGGACTGCCTTGTTTCTTTTTTATCTGCGATTTCGTGTGGAAACTCATCTCTTTCAACGAAAGGTTTGGGTTCGGTGACTCCGCTGTTCGCGCGTTCGATTCCTTCGTCCTGCTGAAATGCCACTTCTTCGGTGGAAAATGCTCGGATGGCCGTGGGTAGGACCCAGCGGCTAGCAATTCGGAGCGGCTATCTCCACTTCACTGCGTTTTCAGTTCGAATTTATTCAAACACTGGTGTCGTGGCAGTCTGGCTGTTACCCTTCCCCCCTCTGAGCCATTCGGTTCTGCTGGTGCTCAGAAGTGCGACGCACTAGGATTCTCTAGGGACGTATCACACAGGGCTAGGAACGTATCACAAAGGACCCTGCCCCGGGTCATGGGCCAACCGATATCTGACTTACACTAAACTTCCGCTGGCCGCCGACAAACCATCCATGCGCATGACCGCAGAGCACCCTTGATGAGCACGACAAAAAGCTGAGCGCGATAATGTGGGGAGTCAGCAGGACCGCCAACGTCGTAGACCAGCTCATTACAGGGGACGCACGCTGCCCCAAGCTCCTCCTGATGGTTCCAGAGGTAATATACAAAGCATTAGCATGCCCGCGGAGTTCTTGCAGGCTGCGTAGATTATTTCACAGATCAAAACACCACGGGAGTCCGATGCAGACAACAGTCCTCGCATTAAAGGACATTGGTGCTCGTCCACAATGTGTTCGTTCTACTAAGGGGAGCGGGTTCATTACAATTCTGAAGTCCTCTTCGTATCTCGCGTAGAGTGCTGTCGTCGATGAACACTGCGCATTCGTACAGCTCTACAGAGGTTTGGCAAGGGTGTTGATCTGGAATGCCACCCCTCCTGACCGGCAACGATTTACATTTCCCGTCGGAAACCTTGGCACGTAGGTCAATCAAAGGTGGAAGCGTGGCCTGATGCCTTTAAAACCTAGCTGGTGCCGGAAGGAGCGCACCAACATGCTGTTCTTGTGCGCGTACAACCTTCATCCGGCCCACTGCGGCCCCAAGGGCAAGGGTTTTACTGTCAAAACGTGAGTATGATATGCAGAGCTTGAAGCAGCGAACCTTGTGTGTGTGTGTGTGTGTGTGTAATTTTTATTAGCATCGACCGCGCTAGCCGGCTGAGTGTGTGTGTCTTTTTATTATTAGCATCGACCACGCTAACCGGCTGACCAATGAAAAGACGTGAGTCTCAGTGCGGTTGAAAACACGAAATACTTCTACATGCCATTAATTGGGACCCTGTGAGGGGGCGTGTGTGCGTGTTTGTGTGTGCGTGCGCGCGCCCGCGCGTGTTTATGCGTGCATGGGATATGCATTTGGGGAACATTGCCATTCTGCAAGTTGTTGCTGTTGATCGCACACGATAGACACTTACCAAAGAAGCTAACATCCACAGCGTTACACCTTGAGGAGATTGGTCCGCACACCGGCTGGTACCATTGCTCGCGTTTCTCTATATTTCCTTGTCTCCTTTTGCGACTTGCTTGGCAGCTCCTGTTGTGGCATGCAGGAGCGAGTTACCAAGGCAGCTGCGTGATCAGACACAGAGACCGCTGTAGCGGCGTGAAAATTGACGCTGAAATATTGTTTGGTCGTATCAACCACACACACCTGCACACTCGGGACACACACGGCAGCCTAACGCTATCATTCGATCTCTCAAATGTTCGGGGGGGCGGGGGGGGGGGGGGGTACTCAGGCCAAGCCGTCAGATGCAACGATGGACGCCCGCTCTGAAGGCGTCTATCATGGTGCTCAAGTTGGCCGCTGCAGTGACACGTGTTGTGACCGGCCTCCCCATTCCGATTGGGGTCAACGAAATGACTGAGGGCATGGCCTTTGCCGTGTTGGCAGGTGCGTAGAGTGTCGTTTGGTTCGACAAGGTCGTTCAAATTTCAGGCTGGACAAGTATTTTCCGTTGCTTCCAAATGATACATGGATGTCTACGGCATTGCACATGATTAAATGCGAAATGTTGCCCACCGCGCCGCTTGCCATTTATTTCTTGGTTGAAAGAATGAGTTGTCGTGACCGTGGCCGAAAGAACTCCAGAAAGTTAAGTTCCCATCCCATGCACCCTAGCCACCCCGGTGACTGTGTTTGATGTGAACGGTACAGGACCAACGTGTCGACACGCTTTCGGTGTGTTGTTCCCGTTGATGGCAAGACCAACCATACAACCCTTTTTATGGCGTGCAGTAGTATACAGAGGCGAGTCGTTTCCCAATGTCCTTTTTGACAAAATTCCGGGCTACCGGAGAAGAGTGGTGTCGCTTTTAAACAAGTAACAGACAATGCGGCAACTTTGAGATGTGGACAGACTAGAAACGTTCGACAGCCAGGTCGCGTTCGAGGTTTTGCCGACCTTGTCCAAGATTTGAGGTATTTCTCGAACGTTGGGGCCGACATAGAAAAACCGCGGTAACAGCATGCAAAGTTTGCGCCAGGGTTCGGTACTGGCAAATGAACGATATACGGCTGAACGTGAGAAGCCAAAACACCAACTGACCGTTGCGTCTCCGTGGGTATGCAAAAAAAAACACTGAAACATTTTGCGTCTTCCCTTCAGACCTAGAAGAAGAGTATGCTAGAGCTGCCGGAGAGAGTTCACTCGGTGGCGAAGTAGGCGGGAACATCGAAGAGCTGTTCACTTCACTGCAAGAGGAGGAGGACCAGACAACCAGCCGCCAGGTGAGCAGTCCTTTCCGGGCCAGCCGTGCGATCAGGCCAGGAAGTCACATGCATAAGATAAGTTTATGGCAAGTGTATCGATGGTTTGGCGTATCCTAGGAATGGATTTTCCCGTCCTGTGTTCTCCACGATCGGGTTGATGTCAAGCCTGGTCGACAATCTCGCCGCTCGCTGCCTCCCCTCAATGCTCGGGAATTCAACGTTGCAGGTACAGGGCGCACGACGCCGGGTATCGAGGACACCACAACAGCTCCAGGCACAGGCAAGCGTTTGTGTGGCTGTTACATAGAGCCGGTCGCCCGGAGTGCGGCTGCCGGCTGTGAACGTTTGGAATGTTGAGGAGCACTAGCGTAGAGTCACGGTTCGCTTCGCTGTTCTCACACAGCTGTTGTAAATGAACTAAACACGTATTTGCGCTCAGTTGCGGTAGATACATTTTCTCCTACATGCAAGCTGAATCCCGTAGGGGATGCTGTACTCTCTCGGCTATAAATCACGACGAACAGACGAAGTACGTGGTGCGTGCTACGGGAGACGCGTACGAGAAGGTCGTCGCCTTCCTCGACGAACACTATTCCGGAAGGTCGGGGAGGAGGGATTGGCGACAAATGCTCGGCCTGCAGCCGGTCGCTCATCCGCTTACGGGAGACGTGGCCTGGGTCTGCGATCGGCACCGCCATGCTTACTTGGCGCGCGCCGCATCGTCGTCTGCAACGCAAGCCACCCCCGTGTGACCTTAACATCTTGTTAACGGTGTTGGTTTAGAGAGCAGTACGAGTGCGGTTCAATACGATGTTCTTGAGATCGGGGGAAAAGAGGATGGGACACGTCTATTGACAAGATTGATTGCCTCTCACGGCTCACTACACGAAGACACAGCCATTATTGGTGTTTTTGGTTGGTAATTTTTATACACTGTTTATTGCTGCGGTTCTCTGGTGGAGGAAGAATAGGCTGGCAGCGTTGAGGATTCCGGGTGACCACACGCATGCAATTTCGTTCGGTTCGTAGGGAGTGCTGCTGTCGGAGCGGCATGACTCTAACCCTGTGATGCCGTTCAGTTGGTTGGACCCGAAGAGCGATTTGTTACGCCTCACGCGCCACAATCAACGTGCAATGGTCACGGACCGAGACCGACCAGGCGTGGAAGCCAGGAGGGAACGATGCCGACCACCTCGCGCGACGGGCCGGGGACATCGGCGACGTCGGAAAACTCTAGCCTCGAACAACGATTGATACCCTGTAGACTATTTCCGTACGCTGCGCGGTGTGGCCCACGACGAGGTGGTTAATTATGCCATTTTCCGCAGGAACAAGACATACCACCCCAGAAAAGGCGCACGATTACTCGGGGAAGGACTCGAGGAGATGCGTTGGCGTCCCTTCAGTCAGTGAAGGTCCAGTGACGTCAGCTGAAGACAAAACTGGAAGTTCTTGTTTACGCCAGACCGACCCTCGGCTAAAATCAAGTCGCTCATCGTCTCCCTCGACCGCGCAGTGTGCCTATTGGTGCATTTATTGCTCCACGTAACAAGCAAATTGGGCGACGTGGTATTCTCCAACACACAACCTGCAGCGAACAAACGCAGACTAGCACCCTCTGATGTACAAAATCATCTCTTTGTTACTCCGATCACACACTCGCAATCGCTCCAACAACCGCGGTACTGGACTAGACAGCAGAGACTTCCGCTTTCAAATCTCGTTCAACCACAAAATTTCGTCTGACAATCTACAAACGACAGATAGATGCTCAGTACCTCACGGGCCGTCACCACCCCAATGCCCCCCTATGTAGTAGTCGCCCCAAATTTTCCACCCACAACTAGCAATTCTCCTCTAAAACGCCTTCATCGGCAACCATCAACTTCAGTAGTTACACCCCCGCCTTCAACTCGCAGCAGAGCCGCCCTCCCCTCCCCTCCCCTCCCACACCATACAA